GAAAGTGCTTTGTAAGTTCTCTCAATTAGTTTTATTTTAGATGTCACTTAGTGCTAATGTATATATTTTAAGAAAATATTTAGTTTTATTATTTATTATAATGAAATAAATTAATTTACTGAAATATTCCTATTTAAAATACTATAATTATTGTACTACGCTATTAGGTAGTCAAAATTATTCTTAAAGTTTGTTTGATTATGTAGTTTAATTAAGTGTTTGTTCAATAATATATATGTGTGTGTGTGTGTGTGACAGATTTTAAATATTGAAATAACAAATAAATGAAAATGAAAATCACTTAATACTAACTTTTTTGAAAGAAAAATGAAAAAGAATTATTGTTACTGAATAAAAATAAAAGAATTATCAAAATACTTAATTGTCATAATTTTTAATGTAATGTATCATAATTTTTTTAAGAATATATACTAGTTTAATAGAAACTAATATTTTAAGAATACAAGTTAACAGAAACTTTTTTACAAGTTTTGCATTTATAAATCACTGTTTTGAGATGAGCTATAGGCTATACATGCATAGGCTGATAAATCGTATTCCAAATTGAATATAAAACATATTAATATTTAAATTATTGGAAAAACATTACCATTTAGAGGAATTAATTACGTAAACATCGATGGTCACATTCTCGTAATGGCACTAACAAGCAACGAGTGAGTGGTATGAGCACAGTAACAACATGTGGACAATAATCATCCAAATGCATTATAGAGGGATTAACGTTGTTGCTGACGATTGCATCCACTGTAATAATTATTCAGCAAAATAAGAGAGATAACGTTGACAACCATTATGTTATGTAACAAAATATAATGAGAGCAGAAACTTATAGATCATATTTCCAGAGATAACTTATAGATCATTCTCTTTCAGGACAATGCAACGATCCACTCCACCATTAGTTCTATCTAATTAAACCATAATGGGTTACAATAAATATTAAAAAATATATATTTACTAACAAAATGTTCGAGTTTGTATAAACACACTTGCAAGAAAATGATAATTCTAGTGCTTCAAAGAAAATATATATATCCTTGAAAGAAAGCATATCCATAGGAAAAGGAATGTTGAAGCATGCAATAATTTTAGTCTCCATGGCTAGCTTGTAATGCCGTTCACTTTAGGAATGGAAATTTTTATTTTATTGGTGTCACGAGTTTAATTGAAGTTAGGCCACGATCATAGTTTAGTCCTACGCAATAATTATATCAAAATACCTTCTTAAGACATGGATCTTTATTATTATATTATGTTTATAGGTTTGAGTAACCCCTTAACTATACTCTATTGAATATACTTTGACTATGAAAAACTAAAACTACCTTTTTACTGACTAATCGTTTTTTATTCACTAATTCTTAATTTCTCAAATTACCAAAGATGAATAGATGATAGAATGGGTTTACTAATTTTCTTGCCGAACAATTGATTTCATCTAAATTTTTAATCAATATCTTTTACAAGAAAGAATCTTCTCACACTAATATAAATTTAAAAAAATTTATATTTAATTTAAATTTTTTATTTAACTTTCATCTAATGATAAAAAATATAATAAATAATAAATCATTAAATATAAAATAAAAGACTCAAATTTAAATGTAAAAATTTTAGATTTATACTAAATTGAAAAAATTATGCCCTTTTATATATTTTTTTATTAAATTTCTTGTATACATTAAATTAGAATAGTTAATGTCAAACCAAAAAAAAAGTTATAATGACAATCTTAAATACTTCATAAGTCAATTACTATTTTTGTTTTTATTTTTTATTTTATTTTTTTTATACTTTGATCAACAGCTAGGCACTAGTAAAATGTTGATACATGGTGTCTTCATCTCCGCCAAAGAAAAAAAATAATATATATATACTATATAAGCACATCGATAATTAAAGTAAAAAGATGAAAGAGAATAATAAAGTATAAGTCTAAACAACTTAGTAAAGCTATTATTTAATAAATTTCAATCAAATTAATGAAACTTTGTTTATAATTTGATTATAAAATATATTAAAAATTACTTTTTCTAATGCTTTTTATAAAAAATAAAATAGAACATTTTTTTGTTTTTATTATAAAAAATAAATAATAAATTTTAGATGTATTAATTGTTAAATTTTTTTATATTTTTTTATTAGTATCATTAAATATACAAATTACTAACTATACCATTTAATATCATGAGTATTTTTGAAATAAAATTTATATTTATGAAAACATAACTAACTTAATTACTTTTTTTTATTTTAGTGATTTATTCTTTTATTTTTTATAAAAAGGATTGAAGGGTTTATGAAAAAATTATAAGCAAATTCAAAATAAATCTTCCAAAGGTTACATGCATAAAAACTTATATCACAGTTAAACATTTAATTTAATAAACTTACTTTGACAAATTTTATTATAAAAATTATTAAAAAACAATTTAAAAAGTTTCGTAAGTAAATTATATGTTGTTTTTATATACTTATTATACAGTCGTAATTAAGTTTCTACTTTACTAATTTTTCTGATAAAAAAAAACTTAAACTCCTTCAAAACGGCGTAAGAAATTCAAGTTCCAAAGCACACACATTACTTATAGAGACACAAAATAAAAAATATTAAGAAGAAAAAAAATTTGCCAATGAAAAATCTAATCAAAGGCCGAAAAGGTAACCATAGTAAAATAAGTTTGGGTCACTTTCTTTAAGTAATGTAAGTTGTAAATTTATTATAAAAAAAATCAAACTAAATTTCCAAAAATTATTTTCAGATATTAATTTTTTTTATATCAATCTACCTATAATACGGTAAGTATTTGGTAAGGACTAGTTTTTCTCAATAACGATATTAGTTAAACTTATTTTTGGATCATTTAAAATAATATGTTTGGTATTACAGTAATTGGAAAAATTGATTATAATCAATTATTATTTTATCATGCATATAAAAGAAATTTAAATAATTCAATCTTGATCAATGTCCAATCTGGAGTCATCTAATTAATAATAAATTCTAACATTAATATGTAATAACTTTAACAGCACAAAGTATTAAGTTTATCAAATGATGATATAAAAATACAATACTATTAAATAAATTTATTTTTGTCTATATTTTTTTAACCTGTTCAATATTATACAAAATAAAAAGTTATAAAGTAAATTTTTATTAAAAGTTATAAAATTTAATATAATTTAATGTATTAATTATATCAAATGCTTAATTTTCTATAAAAATTTATTATATATAACTTAAAAATATTTTTTTTAATTAACAGAATATTCGAATTATTTTTTTCAAGCTGCATTTTGATTATTGTCTTACAATCTCATCCGATATATTTTGTAACCGTATCATTTTTAATAATTTACTTCATAAATATATTTTTCCATATAACTCAAATAACATAAATTATATGAAAATAATTTAAAATTATAGTTGAACATAGAATTAACTTTATTTTATAATCAACTTGATGAGACAATTGTTAATTATTATCTTTCGCAATCAAACCAAACATATACCATGAGTCAATATATGTGTACGAATCGACGAAGAAACACAACATAAATAATAGCTTAAAAATAATACCAATTTAATAACAAATATATGAAGTATATATAATATTTAAACAAAAAACCTGACTTCGCCACACCGAAAAGACTTAGTAACTAAATCTGTAATTATTAGCCAAATTCGATCACAAAACGACAGAAGCCAGGCATTAGAGTAGGACAAATTTCATCTCACGAAATTAATACTTTTAAATTATGTTACCTTTTATATTTATAAATTTTCTTAATCATAGAAATATTTTTATATTTATGAAATAATAAGTGTATATATATTTATATTTAATGCTTACTTTATTAAATAATAAAAAGTATTAAAATATTTGTAACATAACTTAATAAATTTCTCTTTTAAATAAAGCATGTATATATGTTTTTACTCTTTTAGTATCCTAGTCTAACAATATCTGTGATTTGATTTCAATTAATTTTGAGATAAAATAATCCCTAATTTGATTCTGAAAAATCTTGTAGGTAGTAATTTAATTTGATTTTTTACAGTTTGAATTAGACTAATGATTTTTTTTTCTCTTGTCTGTTTATTGAAAAGAAAATGTTTATGGTATAAGTTTTCCAACAATAATTGGCTGAGCTTTTGCTTTTACGCTGTTAAGCTCCATTTAGAATAAAAAAGACAAATTCTTACATTATCAAAAATATAAAGTGCTACATAAATCATTATACCTAATAAAATATTTTTCTCAGAAAAGAATTCATGAGTTTCAATTATTTAAGCTTGATTATATAATAAAAATATTTCCACCCTATCAATCCATACGTCATTATTTTGTCTAAAATTATGAATATATAGACATAATATTAATAACATTTTTTGACTTTCCATCGTTTAATGTGTAGATAAAATGTCTTAGAGTGAAAAAAATGTAAAATAATTCAAACCAATATCATAAAGATATTAAATAATTAAAAAATAAAAAATAGAAATTTTATTAAACATATAAAAAAAAGCTGATTTTCATTATTTTAGTAAATTTTTAATAAAAAAAATTTATTAATTTCTAACCCTGGTTAGCATTAGCAAGACCAGAAAAAATATATAAACGTTGCAGGATCAGCATTGATTCCATGGCAAGGAGCAGATCAGCACATTGCTGAACTGGACACTGCAAATTAACAATGGGTTAAGCAAGAAACAGCGTCAAAGTCAGATCCAAAACCATCTCAAACTTCGCATCCTCGAAATTCTCACATTTATCCTCAGCAAAAGAATTTAAAGAAAATGAAAACAAAACACCAATTTACACACGAGTACTAGAAGTGTTGTCGTAGGACTCAAACCACTGTTGTGTCAACCACACCATCTACACGTACGCTAATTACCACGAACCCGAAATAGTTGCCACTACTCAAGGCCTATATATACTCACATTGCAACCACTTGTCTCACACACCAAACTACCTTAACTCACACACCTCTACCCCTTCTTTTTTTCCTACTTTTTTGTGTGGTGTGTGCACATAATACCCCTTTTATTATGGGTTCCATGGATAAGTCTGAGGTTGATGATCGTTATCATGGGGTAAACTTCACGACCCAAAGAGGGTTTCGTGCAAAATTCAAATCTGGTTTGAAGGAAACGTTTTTTCCTGATGATCCCTTTAGGCAGTTCAAGAATGAAGAGAAGCCATTGCGAAGGGTCATCAAAGGGGTGCAATACTTTGTTCCAATCTTTGAGTGGTTACCCAATTACACTTGGCGCCTCTTTTGCTCTGATTTGATCGCTGGCTTAACCATCTCTAGCCTTGCCATCCCTCAAGGCATTAGCTATGCTAAACTCGCCAACCTTCCTCCCCTCATTGGTCTTTGTAAGAATTTAATTATTACACCTTTTTCTTTATTCATTGATTTTAATACAAGTTAATGCACCATTAATTTTGTAACTTCACACTTTCTCCTTACACCATTTTCTTCATTTTTCCTAAATTTGTATACTCATATGGTTAAGGGATTGAGTTAATTGATGTAAATTTTACAACAGAAGAAAAATGGCTAGCTAATCCACTAAATAAATTTTGGTCATTATTTATATATATCTATACTCATATGTTTAGAATCTCATGGATCAAATTAATCTATATGGAACCTCTTTTTTTGTTTAAGGTTAACTTTTTGATCAAACTGATAGAGAATTAAGAACATTTGTTTTGATTTGACGTTGGGTCATTGTTGTAATTGTAATATCAGATTCTAGCTTTGTCCCACCTCTAGTATATGCTGTTTTTGGGAGTTCTAGGCACATGGCAGTGGGGACGATAGCGGCAGCATCATTGCTTATTGGTCAAACTATAGCAACAGTGGCAGACCCAGAAGAAGAGCCAACGTTGTTTCTTCATTTGATTTTCACAACCACCTTTATCACGGGCATATTCCAGGCTTGTCTGGGCGTTTTCAGGTGAGAAAAAAAAGAGTGAGATAAGCTAACAAGTCATTTTCCTTAAACTACCCTCTGATGCACATGTGATGATGATGATGATCGATGAGTGATTCAGTTGGTTTGGATGTGTTTGGCACCAAGAAAGTAAAATAAAACTAACACAATTAACAAAGAAAGTGTATGTATAAAAAGCTGGCTAATGCAACTCAATTATTTTCATTCTACTTTTGTGTGGTGGCGTGATGAGAATGAGAAAACACCTTGCAGGTTGGGTATACTGGTGGATTTCTTTTCCCATTCTACCATCAATGGATTCATGGGAGGGACAGCAATAATTCTCATCCTCCAACAACTAAAGGGCATTTTTGGCATGAAACACTTCTCTACCAAAACCAACGTGATAGCTGTAGTGAAGGCCATCCTCGCCAATAGACATGAGGTTAGTATATGGAACAAAATAATGCCCCTTTTTTTTTTCTTGACTGATCAAAACAGTAAAAGGTTGCATATGAAATAAACTATTACATATAAGGATAGTTCCTCTAAAATGACAAGGATATCTCAACTTCATTTTAGCCTTTTTCTAAAATGTAAAAACACCGAATTTCACAATCTCAATCACCCATTTACACATGTATTTGAAGTAAAATTCAAAAGTAATAAATTATTAATCACTAATTACTAGGAACGCGTACCAATACTTTAAAAAGAAAGAATACTAGAAACCTCTTAATAAACTTCTGTCTTGCTTATTTAGTCAAATCTAGAAACACTACTATACAACACATCATCTAAAATAGACTAACATGCATGGCTCTTATATACTGACTCAAAAATTTGACCAATTTTTTCAATCTACTTTTTAATTTCTTTTGTTATTTTTCATTTGTTTCATTACTTTAATCAAATACGTACCCTTACCATAATTTGTGAGAAATGATTTATTTTAAAAAAATTGTTGTTTCAATAAATATATTTTGTAAATAACGTGGCTCCTCTTTTTATTTATTTAACAGATAAGGTGGGAAACCACTGTTCTTGGCGTGATCTTCATTGCTTTCCTCCAATTTACTAGGCACCTGGTGAGTGCTCTCTTCTGAAGTTATAGTCATTCTCATTTGAGCTTTCACTTTTGCATATATTTATTTTGTTAAGAAAATTGAAAAGTCGCTTGCTGAGAAGGCTTTTTAGTGCGCCACTGGAACTTGTTGGACCTATAGCATTCTGAAGTCCAGAGTCTATGAATAAAATTATGGCACGGTCGAATATTAATTTTATAAAGTCACGTTAAAGACAAAGAAAATGTAGCAATATTTCATAAAAGCCATACATCGTATTTTCCCATATTAGTGGTATTTTAAATTATATTAATATATATATGTATCAATAGAAAAAATTATTTTTGACTGAACTAAACAGTGTTGTATAATTTATGTAATCAATTTTACTGGGAGAATAAAAGTTAACTGTTATCAACATACGCATCTAAGGAATTCTAACAGATGTATTGAAAAAAGTATTCTAACTAGGTTTCTCTTTTCTGTATAATCTCTCAGAGGAATAAGAATCCAAAACTATTTTGGGTACCAGCTATAGCTCCAATGACGACTGTAATAGTTGCTGGCATTTTCACCTACCTTGTCAAGGGCCAACATCATGGAATTCAAATTGTGAGTTACATATAATCAGTCATTTTCAGTTTCTAAGTAACTTACGTGTATATATATACCACAATATTGTTTTGTTCTCATGAATAAAATTTTTATATAGGTGGGCCATCTCGATAAAGGATTAAATCCCTTGTCCATCCAGTATTTGAACTTTAATAGTAAATATTTAGCGGCAGTGGTTCGAGCTGGCCTTATTACTGGCGTCTTGTCATTGGCGGTAAGCAACTAAAATCTCTAATATCATAATCAATATTTTATTTATTTATTAATTTTTTTTATGTACCCAGGAAGGAATAGCAATAGGAAGAAGCTTTGCTGTTACTGATAATACACCTCATGATGGGAACAAAGAGATGATAGCTTTTGGCCTTATGAACTTGTGCGGTTCTTTTACTTCATGTTACTTGACCAGTGGTAAGTTTTTATTCAAACATGTATGAACCAACCATGCTATTAATAATAGGAAAATTTCTATATATCCTTTCTAGCTAATACATGTTTTATCATTGAATGAATCTTTTGGGGGGTTACATAAAAAAATGAGAGATGGATCGAGTCCATTATTTTAACAAAATCATAGACCAGATTCTCAATAATAAAGACTGTGTTAAAAATTAATTTAAAAAGCATATTGTTAACTAAAATATTTATAATTGTGATGGCAACCTCTCAAGAACCTTGATATTGTTAAAAAATTAAAGATAGATGTGATTTATGTCATCACAACTGTAATTGCAACATAGTTAGTCATATATGTAGGCCTTAAAAACTTTGATATTATGATCATAGATGCAGAGTGCAATTCAAAACCATTCTACTAACACTCCTCTAATAATGTTTGACATATTTTATACCAAAAAAATTATTTTGCTGAACTTTACATCATTATTAAGGAAAATTAAGTGTTTTATGTTAACATTTGTGGTCCCTAAATTTATTTTGTAGGACCATTTTCCAAGACTGCAGTGAATTACAATGCAGGGTGTAAGACTGCCATGGCAAACGTGATACAAGCAATCGTAATGGCACTCACACTACAATTTTTGGCACCACTATTTGGCTACACCCCTCTTGTTGCTCTATCAGCTATTATTATATCTGCCATGCTGGGCCTGATTCATTATGAAGAAGTTATCCATCTCTTTAAAGTTGACAAGTTTGATTTCGTTATTTGCATGGCTGCATTCCTTGGAGTCGCCTTTATAAGCATGGATATTGGCCTCATGATTTCTGTGAGTACCCAAGATTTTCCAATTTCTCATATCAGTGTTGTGAAATTAATAGAATTGAATTAGCTAAACAAAATCTAACTTTGTTAATTGTTCTATTTGCAATCAAGGTTGGACTTAGTGTGCTTAGAGCACTGTTATACGTGGCTAGACCTGCGGCATGCAAGCTAGGAAAATTGCCTGATCATATGGGCTTATATAGAGATGTTGAGCAATATACTGCTTCAACATTACAAGGAATTCTAGTTATACAACTTGGTTCTCCCGTTTACTTTGCAAATTCTGTATACGTCAAAGAAAAGTAAGTTTTGGATTCACTTATTAGCTGATAAATTAATAATTCTTGATATATGCATCCCAATTGAACATTCTAAATTTTTGAAAATTTGCATTAGGATTATGAGGTATATTCGGAGTGAGGAAAGCTCTAGTGGAGATGTGGTTGAGCATGTCATACTCGATTTGTCAGGTAAAAAGAGCGAAAATAAAAAATACACCCTTTTGATAATTCTCATGAATCAATATGTTTTTATAAAAAATGTTTGTGGTTATTATACTCATTCATAGTTTACATGCTTAATTTTATATAGGAGTGACATCCATTGACACAACTGGTATTAAAGGATTGGATGAGACAAATAAAATATTGGGGAAGAATGGAATTAAGGTACCACCACATGGATTTCAAGTTGTTGGAGTTGATCCTCCAAATTGATTATGCAAATGAATCAAATTAGTGAAAGAAGTTTAAGTGATTTATGCATTTTTTTTTTTAATATTGTGTAGATGGCGATAGTAAACCCAAGACTGGAGGTGATGGAGAAGCTAATAGCATCCAAGTTTGTTGACAAAATTGGGAAAGATTCGTTCTATTTAACATTGGATGATGCAGTGATGGCATCTCAATATTCACTTCGTTTGTCAAAGACAAATAATACTCATGAAGAGATAGTGGTTCATGATCAAGATCATGCCTAAGTACAACAAACAAAACTAGATTGTACACCGGTAGTTAATTAGCTTTTGGATGGCCAAATGAATGTTGTATTATAGTACTATACAACTATTTATGGAATTGAGAAAATAGTTCCTAGGGAGCTTTCCCTATCTCTAAAATTACAGTAACATATATTCACATCTTTTTTTGGATTAAGCCAAAGATTAATTTAATTAACTAAATACTGATATCAATATAAAAAATAAAATGACCCTAAATAAAACATAATGTGCTCCAATTTTCTTGTCTACAAGCTCTAAAAGATGCTCTTGTTAGTGAGAATTCCAACATGGAAATATGTATATTAGATAGTGCTTATGTACATGAAAATGATGGCCATTCTCTCTATATTGGATAGTGCCTTTATTGTTTTTTGGTCGAATATTTCTTGCATTGAAAGAGCCGAAGCTCAAAAGCCCAAACCTGTAGCCCAAAGAGATCAAGTCTGTCCTTGGCGTCAAGAGTGATCTCCTTTTTTGGTCAAGAATTTGGGGCCCAAAAGAACCTATACACACAAACACCAAGCCGTAAAGGCCCAATACATGAATCTCTTTCAGCAATCAGGCTGGTCCTCTTGTCTTCTTCGTGAAGTGTGATCCGCTGATGAGATTATAGTGAAGCTGTTGGGCTCGTGAAGGATGTGAACCATTGGTCAACCCCATTAAAGGCTCAACGAAAGACCTTGTACAAACTTTGTTGGGCCATGCCCAAAATTAATTACTTTATAACACACTGATTAACAAACACTTGAGCATAAAAGTTAGATAAATGGTAAATAAAGAAACAAGTTATGATAGTAGTAAAATAAAATGATATAGAAAGGTTATGAAGAAATAATACCATCAGCCACCCAATAGAAATATTCCAAAATGCTAAAATTGTTGGATCCTTAAGCTTATGATAGATTAATCGAAGCTACTATGTCCTGAATCATTTTAGTTTGGTGCCCCTTTAACGCTTGGTGTGAAACTTCAGAGATGAACCTTATGGAGTAGTCTGCATGATCTTTTACTTCATCACAGAAACCAAGTTTTTAATGGCATGATTTTCTTTCAATAATCTTGCATTTTATTGGATGGTCATAATGCTATGGTGGTTGAATTTTTCATGGCTTATATGTTTTGCAGGCTGTTTGTATGCTTCTTACCTAGAAATCTTCAAATTTTATAGCAATAAACATTTAAGAAATTATTTTCTTCAATTTAAAAAATCAAATGTCATTTTCAATCTCATATAAGAGATCCTATTATTAAATAGTGGTAAGTAGTTATCAAGTAAATTTCACTTAGCGGCTTTACGTTTTTTACTGTTTAGCTCTGCTAATCTATGAATACAATAGTTTTTACCAGATTATAGACTCCTAGGCTTAATCTTGTCCTAATCTATGAATAAATAGTGTTTGCCCCTATGTTTGAAAAGAGAAAATATGTATCAAATAAAAAGGCCCAAATGCCTCACTAGAAACACAAATAGTGAGAAATTGTGATTTGGTAGTTCTATATGCAAACTCTCCTTATTGATCAACTATGCAATACAATTATAACATATTCTAGGTTAAAATGTAATTTATCATAAACACAAATAAGTTAACTCATTTACAATTGATTTAATCAACTAATTTGGAATTTCACATTTGTTGAGATAGTCAACGTATGAAATTCACTCTAATTACATGAATAGTGTGATCTGTGATTGAAATTGTTAAGACTAAATGATTAATGCCTAATATGTTGAAAAAGTTGGACGCCAGTATTCATTGCACATCAAATTTGCTATTTCATTTGGTTAAATTTTTAAAATTTAAGCGTTTTAATGTGCAAATTGTACCTCTTAACACTTCAATGACTTCTGTAGTTCCCAATGGCAGAGCCACGTTCCAAGGAATGGACTCGAATGGTTTGTTACTGATCTAACCTTCTTAGAAAATGAGAATAGAAAGTATGAGAACCAAGATTCACCATAGAAGAGGACACTGACTGAGCTAATAGTGTTGTTATGGCCATCTAGTTGGAACAATACAGTGACATTTTATGATTTTATGTTATCACTAGAAATTCTTAAAATTTTCCTTTTTTTTTTTTTACTGCCATTTTACCAGAAAATGGAATAACCTCGTCCCTTGACATATTAAACCTTATCCATACCCTGACCTGTTTAGGCATCAACCAAATAATCAAGAACTTTTGCCTCATGCTTATGTCGTGAGTGTCAAGTAATTCTTCATGAACAATTCCTAATATTCCATATCTCTTATCTATTGTCTTTCTTTCTTTTTCTTTTCGCATACTTTGTGTTTCTAAACCTCCTTTTTTGTTTTCTAAATGTATTATTCTATTATTTAACTTTATGATCTTGCATATTCGTATAAGTAAATTTTGTCTACTGTTATAATCTTCATCAAGGTTGAAAACTAGCATTCTTTGTAGCCATAGCAAGAGAGAACCTAATCCAGAAAAACTTAATAATACTCTACACTGTATGCATAACCTGATCATACATAGAAAGATATTAACCAAGGTTAATGTCATACAAAAGGAATGTCTTACATGTACAAAAAATTGCTGTAGATTGTATGTAAATGCTCTACAACTTGTAGCAGGTTGTCAGTGGGCCATAAAAAGGTCATTCACAGGGACCAAGTACCTCAAATTCTATTTGTTTTTATGTAGTTGTAATGAATCTCTATAATGCAAGAGTATTAAGTAGAATAATTGTAGTCTAGCAAAGTATTTGTTATTCCTTGTTTCTTCTGTATATGCCTTCCCAGATTTTGTTCTCTTCTTTCACTATTTTGTTATTAGCTAAATACCTATTGTCATTCACACGCCAATGCCCCCCACTATATTAAAGAATGTCCCAATCATGGCCAATCATTTGGTTACCTTTTGATAAGCATTACTCGGGCATAATATAAAAGTGGTCGAAGACTTGAGGATCCAAAAAATTAGCGAAAATTGTGCTCTCCTAAACCCATTAACTTTTAAACAACAATTTCTTTAACTACTCACTAAAAATTAATAAATAATAATATTTAATATTATTAATATATTAAATTATATGATATCACAAGATTTTTCATAAAAATCTTATATATAAGTTTCTTTTGTTTAGCTTAAACAAGTATGTTCCATTTGAGTAAAATTATCATGAATAATAAAATTTTTCATTGAAATTCAAACTTTGAGATATAAATTAAACTGATACAACTTTTATCAGTTGATTGACATGTTTTGTGATATATATAAGTTTTTATTGTATGTAATTTAATAAATTATTTAAAGAATTATAAGTATATTTTGGGCCGTATATATATGCACGTATCTTAGCTGACCGTTTCTGAAAGGCATGCGAACTGAGCTGGCATTGAAAAAGGTTGCGTATTTCTTATGTTGGGTGCTATGGAATTTCCTTCAATACGCGTATGCAACGAATCTAAATTGTCATGGTTAGTTTGAACAATACAAAGTTGTTTGTTTTTGTTTTAACGTGCCGACAAGTTCTTGGGTTAAGAAAAGTATTAGTTTTGTGTTCTTAGCCGCTTCTATTCCATTCCATATCTGCTTACTCTATCTATATTCAGATGAGATAAGAACGGATCATAAAAAATGGAGGGGAAATTAGGAGTTGGTGGCTCTCATGTTCTAGTCAATAACTTATGTAGGATTTAAGCATGATTCTGATTCTCCATTTCATTTCGGAAGATTAAATATTGATTTAACTTCAAACCTCATAATGATTTATGTAATCATCAAAACTCAGATGTTTGATCCGAGTCCATAATTTTATTTCGTGTGGTCCAAAGGTTTTGTGCCAAATGCAATGTATGTTAATGCAGGTCTAATGTATGAATGCAGAAAGAGTGGAAGTTTAAATTTGAGTAACTTGTTTATTTAAAAGGTCCCATTGATGAATTAGATAATCAATTCTTATCGAAAGAAAAAGTTGGTGTTACCATTGAATACATTTCAATTTTTGTGCACAAAAAATCTTAGCTGTTTATGAAGTAATAAAAACTGATTCATATATACCCTTTAACTTAATAGTTAATTTATATGCTTGGGAAAAAAGAAGAGATTAAACTTTAGAATTGATAATGGAAATTGTGCACTGTTGGTGTTGATGGTGAGAAAAGAGTGAGAGCAATGGCACCAAACAGGGTTCGAGGATCTTATCATGATGAGGTAGCAATGCCATAAGATGAGAGGCAAGCACATGGCACCCACACGGACACTTGGAATTTAGGGACCGCCACAAACTTTGCCTCTGTCTTTTCATTTGCTGTTCAATCTTCTCTTCCCTTTTATTGTGCGCTTTGTAATTTATATTCCTTAAAATATTGGCAATTTTCGATACTTGATCCATTCTTGAGCCGCAAATTTATCTTCCACAGTTCATGCAAGGCTTACCCTAACATGTAAGGCATTCACATCACGAGATAAAAAGTAATGACGGAAAAATCATTGATGAGTCACAAACAATTATACAACTAGACTTAGCACACCACCTCAAACTAAAAAAAAAGGTTATTAAGTTGCAAGTTTTTAACATTGAAAATTGCCCTTAAGCACTTAGAGCTCGGTTAGAATAAGAAGGTAAGATAAGATAGTTTATCTTATCCTAGTTTGTATCTAATGTTTATTAAATAAATATATATATATATATATATATATATATATAATTTATCATGTTGAGTTATCTTATTTTGTGTTTATAATTTAAATTTTTCTCTTGAAGAGGATAATGAGTTAGAAAATGTCAAGATAAAAATAATCTTTTTTCTATTACCTTCTTACCATACTTTATGCTATTTTTAATATTTAATAAAATAATTATTTAAAACTATAATTTTAACATTTTTTATAAAAAATAATTTATGAACACTTTTTAATAAAAAAATATTTTACTCGTTTTATAAAATATAATTTTAAATTTTTTATAGTTTTTTTGTTTTAATTATATTTTTTCCAAAAATAAATTTAGTTATAAAAAATTAAAAAATTTATAATTTAATATTAAAATTTTAATTTTATGCATACACAAAATATTTTTTATTTTAATATATATTGTATTAAAAATTTAAATAAAAATATTTTTTAAAATTATATTAGT